GGGGGGGGGGGGGCCCTCACCCATGGCATTGTGTATTGAGTCACTCTTGTCCATGTTTTGCAGCATCTTCATGACACAGTGAAGAGAAATCTTGATAGCACCACCCCCCCTCAGAATGGCGAGCAACAGAATGGCTACGGAGACCTCTTTCCTGGACACAAGAAGACCCGCCGAGAGGCCCCTCTGGGAGTAGCTGTCGCTTCCAATGGCTTGCCTCCAGCCTCTCCCCTGGGGCAGCCTGACAAGCCTGGCACAGAGGCCCTGCAGGCCAGTGGGAAGCACTCACTGGGGCTTGACTCCATCAGTAAGAAGTGTCTGGCAGACTCCAGCCTCCACTTGAATGGAGGCAGCAACCCTGGTGAGCCGTTTCCTCTGAGCCTGAATAAAGAACTGAAGCAGGAGCCCGTCGATGACCTGCCTTGCATGATCGCGGGGGCCGGAGGCTCCATATCTCAAAGCAACCTCATGCCTGACCTCAACCTTAACGAGCAAGAGTGGAAGGAGCTCATCGAGGAGCTGAACAGGTCAGTGCCCGATGAAGACATGAAGGATCTGTTTAATGAGGACTTTGAAGAAAAGAAGGACCCAGAGTGTTCTGGTTCCGCCACGCAGACCCCCTTGGCACAGGACATTAATATTAAGACAGAATTCTCCCCAGCAGCCTTTGAACAAGAACAGTTAGGCTCTCCACAAGTGAGGGCAGGGTCTGCAGGACAGACCTTTATGGGGCCTTCAGCCGGCCCTGTGAGCACAGATTCACCAAGCCTCGGGGGCGCTCAGCCTCTATTCCACACCTCTGGTCAGCCCGGGGCAGACAATCCCAGTCCCAACCTGATGCCGGCATCAGCCCAGGCCCAGAATGCACAAAGAGCCCTCTCCAGTGTGGTGTTGCCCAGCCAGGGCCCGGGAGGGGCCTCAGAGCTATCCTCTGCTCACCAGCTCCAGCAGATCGCTGCGAAGCAGAAGCGGGAGCAGATGCTCCAGAACCCGCAGCAGGCCACCCCTGCACCGGCCCCAGGGCAGATGTCCACGTGGCAGCAGACAGGCCCCTCCCACAGCCCCTTAAACGTCCCTTATCCCATGGAGAAGCCCGCCAGCCCTCCTGGCTACAAGCAAGACTTCACCAACTCCAAACTGCTCATGATGCCCAGTGTGAACAAGAGCTCCCCTCGGCCCGGAGGCCCCTACCTCCAGCCCAGCCATGTGAACCTGCTGAGTCACCAGCCGCCAAGTAACTTGAATCAGAATGCCGTGACTAACCAAGGGTCGGTGCTGGACTATGGCAACACCAAACCCCTTTCTCATTACAAAGCAGACTGTGGGCAAGGTGGCCCTGCATCCAGCCAGAGCAAGACAGCCCTCATGGCTTATCTTCCCCAGCAGCTGCCTCATCTGAGCAACGAGCAGAATTCCTTGTTTCTGATGAAACCAAAGCCAGGAAATATGCCCTTCCGATCACTGGTTCCCCCTAGCCAGGTGAGCACGTGGCTTCCCTCGCTGTCACTCTGCATCCCTGTGGTCACTAGGTCTCCGGTGGTTGGGACAAAGAGGGTGGGAGGGAGCAGCTACGGTCATCCTTTGGGTCTCTGGAGAGTGAAAGTCAGGCAAACCAGGGTTGATTCTGAATAAATGAAAATCGGGTAAAATTCCCTAGTATAACTTGGTTTCAAATTTCCATACATTTGACACTGTACTTTGTCTAGTGTCTCTTGCATGCCACACAACTTAAAGTAAGTCATTTATGGCCGTATTTTGCAGATAAAGATCACGATCACATTTAATGTGCTCCTTAGAGGCTTTGCCTTTTTTTTTTTTTTTTTTT